CTGGCATCTCGCTCTGCTCCGCAGTTCACCTGGAGGGATTCTGCGGCGGCACCAGGTTCGACTGCAAAGACGTGAAGTTTGTGGTGGGCGAAGGGGAGGACCACGATATCCCCATCGGAATAGACAAAGCTCTGGAGAAGATGCAGCGGGGCGAGCACTGCATCCTCTACCTGGCGCCACGGTAAGGGACGCTCCCCTCCGGGGACGCGGCGCCGCGGCTCGGAAGCGCTCGGTTCCCAGTGCCCGACGTCGAAGGCCTCCGCACTTCTGCTTCCCTGTCCTTGCAGCTACGGGTTCGGCGAGGCCGGGAAGCCCAAGTACGGCATCCAGGCGAACGCGGAGCTGGTGTACGAGGTGACGCTGAAGAGCTTCGAGAAGGTGAGCGCAGAGGCAGCCTCGCAGAGCCTCCCGGCACGGCGCTTCCCCACAAAACCTTCACCCTTTGTCCCTGGTGCAGCCGCTCCGCGGCCCCTGCTGAAGTAGCTGCGTCAACAGAGATCTCTGTGTTCTTAATTTGTTCTCGTGTGTTGGTTTGTTTTATTTTTCTGGCCGGGCTCCAAGGCTGGTTCTCTTATTTGTTCCTTTTGTACTTTTTTTTTTTTCCTTCTTCCCTGAGCTGCACAGAGAAGTTCGTGTCCCGCCAGGCGGCTGGAGGAGGGCAGGGCTGCGAGCCGAGCGCTCTGCGGGAGCCGGGACGGGACCGAGCGTCCGTCTGCGGCCACACAGGTGCCGCCTGGCCCGTCTGGGTCCACCTTGGACGTTTCTCCAGGCTGGATTTGCTCCTTAGGCCTAGTGAGAACAGGGATGCGAGGGTATCACAGACTCCGGCCTTTCCCTCTCTCCTGGAAGTTGTCTCTCCTCACCCTTCTCTTACCCACTGGGGTTTACTTTTCCATTCCTAGTGAGAACAGGGATGCGAGAGTGTCGCAGACCCCGGCCTTTGCCGGGAAGTTGTCTCTCCTCAACCTTTTCTTACCCACTGGGGTTTACTTTTCCATCCTGGGAGCTTGCACTGGACAAACCCCATTACTTTTAACGCAGAGCTCAGTGTAAAGTCCTGTACCTGGCACTGATTTACCTCTTGCAGCAGCTTCCCACCCTTTTCTGCTCCAAGCTCCAGGTGACTAGTGCTCTGTTCCTCCCTTTATTTTTGCTCCCAGTGAAAATTCCGAAGGGTGCATGTATCCGATGCATGGATGCAGGATTTCTTGGTGGCGATACGCTGTCCTCCCGCTAACCCCCAGGGCCACAGCCCACTCCAAGTCATAGCAGAGAGCAAATTTCATCAGTGCTCCAGTGAGTCAGTGGACGGAAGCGCAGGGTTTTGGAGCCAGCGTGTTTACAAAGCCAGGGTCTGTGAAAATGTGAGCCCCGAGGACCCTCCCAGCTCCACAAGCTTTGGCCGGTTGTGTTTTCTGCTGCCTCATTGCGCCGGGTGTTTATTTGCAGGCCAAAGAGTCGTGGGAGATGGACACCAAAGAAAAGCTGGAGCAGGCTGCCATTGTCAAGGAGAAGGGGACGATGTACTTCAAGGTTTGTAAACTTGGCCAAAGCTGAATTGGCACGAGGGGACTTGTGCTGCTTGGGTTTTGAAACAAGTTCCCCTTGACCGTCAGAGAGGCGACTTAGCATTCCTGAGCAGGCGTAAACGGCGGGGAATTCACCCCTCCCAAACGGTGCTGGGCAGGGCGAATCCTTCCCTTCTCCTGCTTTTCCCTCTCCAAAGGCGCTTCAGGAGAGATGTGTCCTTCCCAGAGTGGCATGGGGCTGCACTTGTCCTCCTGTTACACCCTTGCAGCTTTGTTTGGGATTGGAAAGGGGAAACTTTGCTGTCATTTCAGCATCATCCCCAGCAGTGTCCCCTGCCACCAATGTCCCCTGTCACCAGTACCAGCAGACATTTGGCCTGAGAGCATCTCCAGGTGCCCCTCTGTAGCCTGGCTCGGCTCTCCAGTGGGGCCCAACACCTGCAGCTCCAGGGAAACTCCAGTGTGTTTGTCAGTACCTTGGCACTGCACCATCCTCTTTCCTTTATTTACTTAACACACCATATGTTAAACTCCATAACTTTCCAGAACGCTTTGGAAGCAGATCTGCTTCGGTTTGTCTGCTCAGGTTCCTCAAGCCCAGTCTTCTTTGCTCCATCCCAGGAAGGCAAGTACTTGCAGGCAGTGATCCAGTACGGAAAGATTGTGTCGTGGTTAGAGATGGAGTATGGCTTATCCGAGAAGGAGTCAAAAGCTTCAGATTCCTTCTTGCTGGCTGCCTTCCTCAACCTGGCCATGTGCTACCTGAAGCTGCGCGAGTACACCAAAGCCGTTGAGTGCTGCGATAAGGTAAAGGCATGCGAGCCCATGGGCTGCAGGGTGCTTTTTCTGCCTACTTCTGTTGAGAGTTTGGGGCTTTTTTTGCTCTTTTTTCCTCTCCCATATTGAATTTCTCTGCACCAGAAGCCATTTGCAAACTCTGGTGCATTGAGGGTGTCCCCTCTGTACCTCCTGTTTTTGGGGTGTTCACAAATGCTGCATGTTTTGAGAATGCAGAAGCAAAAGGTATCTTTGGAATTCAAAATTCAGCTGTCTGCATGCTGGATCTTTGTGCTCCTCTGTGTCAGGAAAGTGTTATTTCTTGTACAAAGGCTTAGATTTAAGACTATGTCATACAGGAAAAATAGTAAAGCTAGCTGTCTTAAAAGGTAAGTCGTCAGTGAGATGCTTGTAGGACTGTCAGCTACATGAAATTCTTCCTAAAGGAAAGCAATGTGATTGCTAAACTGAGGAGACAAAAACACATTTAATCCACAGCAGTTCATCAGCTGTCCTCACTCTGAGCTCTCTGCTCCTCTGGGCTCAGGTTTAGCATTTACCCAGGAATTCTTGCTCGTATGGGTTTGTCTCCCACTTGTTCCCTCGCTTTTGCAGGGGGTTTATGCAGTTAGAAATATCTAACTAAAATATATTAATGACCTGCCAACTGATAATGGAGATGAGTAAATTTTTGCAGGGCAAATTGTGAGCACTCTGGAGACTTGACACCTTCTTTCTTGTCCTGATTTCCTTATGCTTAATGAGGCCTCAAACCTAACGAGCTCTTTGAAAGAGGCCCAGGTGACATTAGCAGAGCACTGATAAATCAGCGGGATACCGGCTTGCACAACAAGCTACTGCATAACTACGGGACTGCACATCATGGACCACTTCTTGGTAGCATCTTCCTTTTTGCATTTTCAGCAAGAGGGAAGTACCTTTGCTTTACTCTGTGCTTAGTTACAGGCGGTAAAAATGGCATTAGTATGAGGCAGTAGTATGAGTACTGCTGAGCAGCAAATACTCTGTGTCATCAGGGAGTGACACTGGGTCAGGCTTTCACTGTCGTGAGGCTGTCGTGATGTCTGCACCGCTGTGTCCTGCTAACGTGGGGCCGTGTGTTTCCAGGCACTAGGGCTGGATCAGGACAACGAAAAGGGTCTGTACAGGAGGGGAGAAGCCCGACTGTTAATGAATGAATTTGAACTGGCCAAAGGCGACTTCCAAAAAGTGCTGGAAGTGAATCCACAGAACAAGGCTGCCAAGTCCCAGATCTCCGTGTGCCAGAAGAAGACGAAGGAGCACAACGAGCGGGACAGGAGGATATACGCCAACATGTTCAAGAAGTTTGCGGAGAGAGATGCAGCGCAGGTGCCAAAGCCCATTCTGGGTGACCGTCTAGCTCTGTGTTGGGGGTTGCCCATCATGAGAAGAGGTTATGGGTTGGGATGGGGATGGACAGAGGGATCGGTGGGTCTGGAAGCACCGAATCCCCCAGTGGGCACAGGCTGCGGATAGAGCCCGCTGGGAAAAGCCACTGCCTGTTTTCTGGCCTCTCCAATACAGAGGCTCTTGTCGGGCTGTCATTATCAATAGGAGCATTGACAGTGTGTGCTCCTGACAGCCCATCACAGGTTTGGCATTTGTATTGAATTTTGCTTTTCTAAGCTCTAGGGGCTGTTGATGGCCTCCTTGGTCACCAGCACTCGGGGTAAAATGAAATGTCACCCCGGCTCTGGCAGGGCCGCGGGTATTCTGAGACATGATAGTATGGATTTCCTGAATTTTGTAATGGAATATGCTGCTCCTCTCGTACGAGAGAGCTCGCTTGCTTATGACAGGCTCCCGTCCAAAATTCCTCCCAACAAAACCCGATGCAGGGTGTTCTGTAACAAGAGAGGACACGGCTCTGCAGCCGGGCTCCACGGGTCGCTTCTAGCGCAGTCTCTTCTGAACAAGTGCCCGCGAAGGAGCCTCTGGAAGGAATGACAGGGAAGGTTCCTAGAGCAGCTGGACTTGCTGAACAGTGGCAGAAAGTGGGGCCACTTGGGCGAGCTGCCCCGAGACTGGTGCTATAGCAGTTTGTGATACTGGGTAACCTTCCAAGAAGCAGGTTTTAAGAGTAATAGTTATCCCTGCAGCAGGCATAAGATTTTCCTGTTTCCGCCTGCTCCAAGCCGTGACTCTGCCCCATTTCCTTTATTTCCTCCATGTCCATGTGGTAAGATGGCTCTGTGATGACATCCCGTGTCCCTTGGGGCAGGTCCCATTATACCCAATGAATCCGATACCTTCCCGAATTGCTCCCTTGCCCCCAGGGCCCCTTTGCCAAGGGAAGCGGAGTTTCATCTCCGGGATCCGCGACCCTCCGCTCCGAGCGTGCCGCCCCGCGAAGCGCAACGAGGGGGACATGCTGGGCAGCATCCTCGGCATTGCAGGGTCCCACTGCACTCACCAAAGCGCCTCTTGTGTATCCCTGTTTTGCAGGAAGCAGCGAGCAAAACCGGGATGGAAAAAGAAGCAGAAAAAGCCCCCGAAAAGGGGCTAAAAACTCCAGAGTCGGAAGGCAAAGAGGCTGAAGGCCACGTATGATGGAGGAGACGGCGGAAGGGAGACCCTCCTGCCCTCGGCTAGCACCGAAACAGGTTTTCTGCCAGAACTCAGGACTCACCAGTGTTTTCTTGTTGAGCTTGTTACAGTTTGTGTGATTGTGGAAGCAAAAATGCCTCACAAAGAGAAAAAATATCAACCCCAGCTCTCCTGCTGCAAGTGCGCCGAGCAGCAGAGCGCGAGCAGAGGGACGGAGTGGGACCACACCGAGTGGAACAAATAGCTTTTAAAAGGATTTTTATTTTCTTCTTCTTCTTTTAAACTCTTGGCTTTCGGGAGGTTTTACCTAGCCAGCTCATTCCAACTCGTCCGACTTCGAGCGGCGCCCGCGCGGCGTGCCGGCGGCTCCGGAAGGAGGCGGGCCGCGGGGTTGTCCTGTTGCACAGCTCGGTATCGCGTTCGCGTGCGCTCTTGGAGCGCCGCACCGGCACCCGAAAAATCCGACGGTGCCAACGCACCGCGTCCGACTGAACAAAGCACGGGGCGCCCGGGCCTTGGAGCTCGGCAGCGTCGCGGGCTCAATGCCAGGAGCGGAGAAGCCTCTTTCTCCTCTACCTTCTTCCTTCTCTTCCTCCTGTGCTGGCCATAAGGGGTTCGTGGCAGCTGCTCGGGGAACCGAACGATGTTGGGATCTCACTGTGGCTCAAGCAGCGGCTCCCGGAGCGTTTTCTGCGGCGGTGGCTTGCGGGGGGAGGCTCGGGTTTGCTCTCCTGGTGGGTCCTTGCATGTTTTTGAAGGTGTCGCAATGTGAAGCTAGTGATGAGAATTAAACCGTGCTGCCTTTCGGCAATTTCCCTGCTTCCTTTTAGGAAATCGTTACAATGGTTCCCACTTAGTGCTGCTACGGATACTTTTCTCCTCACTTCCGTTGTAACCCTTCTGTTTAGGGATTTATAATTTGGCTTTAAAGTAGTGTTGTTTGGGGAGGGGGGGATTTATTTTAAGTTTGGCCACGTTGCATATTTTATTTTGTTGGACTGCAAAATGCTGCTTTCCAACATCGCTGCTTTCAGGCACTTACTTTGCAGCCTGCGTACTATCAACTAGGTCGAACGTTTTAAATTGGAGTTTTGTAGCTTATTAGGGGTCCATACAAAAAAAAAATAAATAAATGGCAAAAAAAAAAAGAACAAGTGCAAATTATGTGGTTCAAAAAGGAAACTCTCCATCCCTGCCGCAACGGTGCTGCGGATGGGTGTTTTTTCAGTTGTGCGCTGAGATGTGAGGCCCAACTGTAGCAGGGGGTGACAGATCCGAGCGGGGAGGGCACGTTCCCCTCTCGCTGTTCTGCTGAAACCTCTAAGTCTTTTTCCAACCTTGAGGGACACTGTCACTACCTTTTAAGAACAGCCTTTTTTTTTTTTAATTATTTTTGTTGTCTGTTCTTTGTACTACCCCTTTTAAAGCTTGAGAATAAACACCTGGAAGTGCTTCTATTGCTTTTGTTCTCTGTGCAGCACGAGAGGCTGCAGCGGGACATGGGATGTGCTCTCCCTGTTATCCGCATCACGCCAGATCCCGCCTGGACACGCGCCCGGCGCGAGCCGGAGCCCGGGGAGCTGTGAGGAGGTTGCAGAGCTCGGCCGTGCTGCCCTGCGGGCCGGGGAGCATCGTGCGGTAACGTGGGGACTGCACAGGGAGCGGAGGAGTGAAACAGCAATGGTTGCGAAAGGGGAAGGGTAAAAGCACAGGGTGTTACCGCATGGGGTGTTAAAACATGGGGTGTCACCGCACCCTGGGCTTTTTTGCTGCCTGCATCACCATCCTTTCAGAGGTGGACTTCGGAGGGGGAATATCCCTTGGGGAAGAGCTAGACGTGATGGCCCCGATGGCCCCAACGATGGGGGTAGACGTAGTGGCCTCCGGGGACAGGGGTAGACGTGATGGCCTCCGGCCCCCTAGCGGCGGCGAGAGCCAAGGCCAGGCGGGTCCCCGTCCCCTCCCTGCTCCCGCTTCCTTGCTCCAACCTGGTGCCTTTTCCAACCGAGAAGCCGCAGCACCGCCGGGAGCAGCGGGGCCAAGTGAAGGCGCCGTGATTCGGCGCCTGGGGAGGCTGCAGAGACCTTCCCCGGACAAGCGTCCGCAGCGCCCCGTGTGCCGCCGCACCAGGACAGGGTCGGTCTGGCCCGGATGCTGTCCCGCGCCAGCGCTTGAGGTGTTTTCCTGCTCCATCTGCCCTAGCGGAAAGTATTTTCAGGCCCTGCTCTTGGTGGCGGCTTTGAGATGCAGCAAGTGGCCTTCAAAGGGGACTAATTTAAGTAGATTAAATATAGAAAAATATTAATAATATATTAATAAGGATTTTT